AACACTTTAAAAATATTATATTAAACAGTGAATTTAATTTATCAGATTTTTTGAAAGAAAAAAAGAATAAAATTTTGTATATATTTTTTTTTAACAGAAATGAAATATTTTAATCTGGCAACACTTTAAAAACATAATATTTAAGTTTTCAGTTTTTTTTTCAAATTTAAAAAATTTCAAAATTGTTGAATATTTTAAGCTGGCAACACTTTAAAAATAAATATTTCGCTATTCACGTTTAATTTTTCAGTTTTCTTCTTAAAATTTCCGCATTTAAAAATTTCTAAACATTTTAGCTTAGCTTTTGGCACTTTCAAATTATTCACACGGCAATATTAATTTAAAATTTAATTATATACAAAAATGAATTATTATTGTTTATGATTTTTCTTCAAGATCGTACACTTTTTAACATGAAGGCACATTTGACATTTTTGTTCTCTTTTTTTCAAGTGTAAATATAAAGAGCATAGTAACAAGATTTATTTACTAGAATTTAAAATTTTTTGTTCTACAAATAAAGACAGCTTTTTAAGGAGTCTGTTGCTGAAGAAAAAGTGTTTTTGTAATATTTGAAATTTTTTTAGCTTTCGATAGATAAAATTTACAAGCATTTCTGCCAATGCTGGGGAACACTTTATCGTTTTAACACTGTTTCGAAGTAACAATTTCTCATTTCTTTCAATAACAAAAAATCTTTCGTTCGTTTTTTTAAAATACAGCAAAGAAATTATCTTCGTTAAGTACCACACGGTTTTCGTTATTTTTCTGACGAGGAATTTTAACTTACTTTTTAGGTAACGGCGTCAAGGTAGAAGACAGTTAGGAGAGTTACGCTGGAGTGAGATGAAACTTTGTAGCAGACAGGTCAGTGGCGACATATGTTTGGTTCACCTGTTTGTTTTCTATTGAAGACGCAACCGATACTTCGCAAGTAGACCGGGCTTCAGATCCTCGATGTTCCTTAGTGACTGCGCGCGCTTTCATGAGCTTTCAAGAACTTCCACAAGTTGTGAAGAGATTGTTTACATTTCAAAGAACTTTTAGTAGTTACGCGCACTCGTGCATTTTGACAAACTTCCACAAGTGGACAGGAGCTTTCATGAGCTTTTAACCCACTGTTTTGCTTGCCTTCAGCCACCTTAAAATTCCGCTCAGAATTATCAGAAAAATTCGTTGCTGCCCGCTGCACCCTCTCGCCAACGCTCATAGTAATCTGCCGCATTGCCTGCGCCGCTACCGCTACTGCTATCCCCCACTCTGCCGCCCATCCAGCTATTGCTGCCGCCCGCCCACCAACTGCCCAGAAATCACCGCTCACTCGCGTGTGTGGTCGAGCCAATGCCGCCACCATTGCCAATGGGCCGCTTGAAGAAGCCCAACGTGTCGAGTGTGCGGAAGGTGCGTCGTATTAATTCGTCTTTGTACTTCCAGATCGTTTTGTCTTCGACCGAGTTCTCGCGGTACTCCTCACAGCTCTTCTTCAGCGTATTAACGCAGTCGGCGCGATAATGCTGCAGCTGTGCGTCGGTGGTGTTCACTGGGTAAGACTTACAGACGCCACCGAGGCAGGCGAGCGGAAAGTGATTGTGCAGAGTGAGTACGCGTTCCGGGTCGTGGAAGCACTTCACGTACTGATTGGGTTTGGTGTAGTTCTTGGCGCGGTGCACGTGTTGCAACATGTGCATGTACTTGGGTATGTCCTTGTGCCAGCCATGCTCGTGCTGTTGGTCGTCCAGGAAATAGACATTGCGGAAATTGTAGCTGTTGTAGCCTTCGGGTTTGATCTTCAGCGATTCGGGCACTACCTTCTCCATTAGCTCCGACCAGAGCACGAAGTTGCCCTTTGGCATGATCACTTCGTCGATATCAAGTAGCGCAATGTATTTATATAAGTAGAGATTCTTGTAGAGACAATCATTGTAGGGTATAACCTCATTCTGACGCTTGTGATTCGTCTTTTTCGTGAGGTAGAGATGCTGAAAACCGGGCACATTCGGTTGTCCGCCCGGTAACGTCAGCGGTATGACTTGCACTTTGCCTTCTTGCTCATAGTGGCTGAGCACTTTTGTGATATTCGGATGCACTTGCAGATTGTAGAAGTAGATCTTATCGGCGCCCAAAATATTCAACATCTCGATCCACTCAATCAAACGCACCGAGAGATCATCGTACAGAAAATCGAGACCCTTCACGCAAACGGCGAAACCTTTCTTCTGGTCATCTGGCGGCCGATTGTAAATGACGCGCAAGTTATTTGTCGCCGTATCACATTCCTTCTCCACCATCGATACCGAGCTGGGCACGACGCCGTGGAAGGGTTTCGGTATTTGACATGCTATCAGATAAGGCTGATAGATACCCTGCTTGTAGTTACCCCACTTATTGTACCAAATATATTTGTATTCGAAGGTCTTAACAATGAACGGTTCCTTCTGGCCATCAAACCAAAACTGACAGTACGTCTTCACTGTCGGCTGTATGCGATCGATCATGCCGAGTATACGTACCGTGGGACCGATACGCGACGTCTTACGTATGTCGTAGTATGCGCCGAACAGCTGAAAGGTGCCGTTAGATGTGCGCATTGTTTGCCAGTAGATATTATTGAACTCCAACTCGAAGATGGATGGATATTTGGCGCAAGTATTGGACTTTTGCTGGCGAAAGTTCTTGTTCTTGCTCCAATACGCGATGGGAAGCGAAGGGATGCGAGACTCGACATCGCGCACCAGCTGATCATCATCCATGGCTAGAAGCGAGGTGGAGAAGAGACAAGAAGAAAGTGAACGAATTAGTAAGAAATAGAAATTTAGAGGCAAAATGAGGTATACTACTAAATTAAGGAAACACTCGCGTACCGATAAAATCAATGAAGACTAAGGTAACTGTGGACATTGGGCTCATTTAATCTTAGTCCCTTTGAGAGCTAAAGTGTTCCCCTTCTCGGATGGGTAATATGTCTTCGCGGTAGTGTGACTAAAGAATTTCTATAAACTTCTTCAAAGAGGCAATATTGTAAGTTTTAAGTCACATACCACGTATTCTAGCTCGTCTCTATTTATTGTCGGATGGTTGAGAAAGAGACGGGTCATACCTTGGTTCGTAACACTTTTGGGATGACTTTTATCGTAGTATGGATTGAGTGCTCCAATCTAGGTTTATGCAGTATAGAACTTAAGAACTTTGTATAGACATTTGCTAGCGTTCACTCACCTGTTCGATTGTCCACCAAGATCTCCGAAGGATCAAAACGATCCGTTGTGGTCGACGTAGTCTCCGCATAACGCAATATGTCCTTCTGCAGCAAAATGCGGCCGCTCAACGGCACGGCGCTGTACTCCTGCGAGACAATATTGGTGCCGTGCATTTTGAAGAGACCGATTATGACGAAGGACCACACGCAAAGCGAGAGCAAAACTTTCAAGATAATCTTGGAACTGGCCATTGTGCTGTATTTGTTGCTTAAAAGTAATGATTGTTGTTGGCGAAGTTAAGTCTAAATTAATTTTGTTGTTGTGTTTATGCTTGCTTCAGCGGTAAGCACGTGTTTTCACCAGTCACGGCGTATTATTGCTGTTATTGTTGTGGCGCGTTGCGCTTCCTCTTTGATGAATGTCGGAGACTCTCTGCAGCACACGAAAATTCCATTAAAACTTCGAACAACTGAAACGAGACAACAAAGCATTTGGAGCATAAGTAAAATATCAAATTTATATAATTATGCGGGTGAATGGTAGCGGGAGAGAGAGAGGGTGTGCAGTCCCCAATGAAATGCTGAATGGCTGTAATCGCTTTGTTGCATTGCATTGACGAGACAAAGCGCATAAAGCATTTAAAATAATTGCCACATTTTATATTATGTACGGCTTTGTTGAAATTGTCATTGTTGTTGTTGACAAACTTTCTTGTTTTTATAGCGCAAAATAATAATGTTTGCCAACAAATTATGATTGAACATAAAAATGGGCGTCGCAGTTGGCGACGAAGCAAAAAGCTACGAAAGCCCGCAACAAAGCTCCGTAGGTAAAGCGTTGCGAATGAGACAACAAAGCGCACTTACGATTCTCCGAAGTGACATTCAAACACTCAAAGTCATAACGGCGCTTGAATGGACGCGAAAGTTGTCACGGCGCGCTTTCTTGCGGCCCTTCTGCAACCGACTGGCCGCGGCCAGCGGTTAAGGTGTAACTTACGGCATTGTTGTTGCGTTTGTTGTAATTGCCGCATCAATAAATAATGCAAGTCATCACGGCAATGCATAAAATTCGCATTTCGCTGAAGACGCTGTGGGAGAGACCGCGTACCGCGTACCGCGCACCAAGCGGCAAGAGCCAGAGCGCGTTCCCAAGGTTGTGCCTATCATTTGTAGGCACGTCGGCGTCTTTATTTGCAATTTTCGCAAATTATTGCCACTAATGAAATGTTCGTCGTTTCCGATATGTCTGCGGTGCTTTCAGTGTTGTTGCTGTCACAGCAATGTGTTGTGGCCGGCGAGCTCCTTTAGCGTAGACACGTGCATGTCTCGTCTATTGCTTACTTATGTATTATTGCCACAATGAATTTTACCTTTTTTGTTGTTGCTTGTTCGCTTCTTCAATTATTTGTCGCTGCTTTGGTTGTTAACTTGTAAACGGCACGAAGTTTTGCTTTTTTATTAGCCTTTTGTCTGGCCGCGTCATTTCAGTCTGAGCTTTTGTTGGCTCAATGAGTTGGCTGAATGGCCGGCTGTTTGGTTAGTTAGCGCACACTGTTGATTTGTCTGCTGGCACGTTCTATTGCACAGTGGTGTCGGTTCGAGTTTTTTGGGTTCTTAGCTTGTGGCGCTAAGAAAGTACCGATTTGGGATGAAGGAACGAACTGTATAAATTTGGTTGCTTATGGCGAGTCACAGTAATGCTCTGGCACATTTTCGGGTATTCCGCACTTGTATTCAATATTTTATTTAAATTAGATACTTAGGCGGATTGAGTACTTAAAAGAGACGCTTAGGTCCTTCGATCCGAGCATTAAGACCAAAATAGTTGGTTATGTAAGCGGGTTCGGTACTCAAGCGAGGGATCAAGCAATCTATTGTAATACGTCGCTTCTGTTTATATGGAGACTAACACAAAATGCCGTGGAACCGACCTCTCTTTATCGGGAATGCGAAAATCGCTTAGACACAATATACCGAATTAGGCTTCGTATTGACAATCTCTAATTTAACTGCTTTTCTTGCGACCTATGCACCCTGTCCGCGTCCTCATTGAGTGGCCACAGTTGACAACCACCCACGCCAGTTTTGAAGACTTCCAATCTGTAACATTGTTTATATGTGTCTCGACAATAAAGGAAAGCACAATAGACAATGCCGCTGTAACTCCAAACGACTCGCAGCGCCGCAGTGGGCGTAATATAGCCACAGAGGAGAGACGGCAAGTGGAAGCAAAGAGCGAAGCAAGCAGCAACAGTGTGCCCAACAAACAACGGCTGCACGGACGGACACGCTTTCTGCCTTGACTTCCTCCCATTACAAACCCGTCTACTTCCTGGCCGCAGAGCAGACAGGCATGACCAGCCGTCTGGCTGTTAACTTGCAGAATACACGTAATTTGTTCCAGCAGATGGGCGGTGAGCGCCAGCAGACATTTCAATATAAGAGCTTAGGAAGACAGTGAGCTTTAAAATAGAAAGAAAATAAAGAATTACTAAAAACACCGCAGCTATTTGAGGTAAAGGCAGTTCGAGGTAGAATAGAAGACAGGCAGACAGACTAATAGGCTGCGAGGCCGACAGGATGTAGCGTCAGATAGCGCTAAACAGACGATAAGTGTCCCCTCAAGTAATGCTGATGTAGACGACGATGATGATAACTTGAGAATGAGAATGACGTGCAACTTGGTTTGGTGATAAAAGTAAGCGCCTGCGCCTGCCGCCCGCTTTGTGTGGGTGGCAAGTGACATTTGTGGCAGGTGCGGTTGGCTGTGGCACGCTGGAGCGTATGTGTGTTGTAGAGTGATAAAAATAACTGTGGATACGCTGGTTGGACAGGAGAGGCAAGAAGGTAAGGATACATCAAGTGGAAGTGGAGTGGCAGCCAGCTGCTTGACTGTGCCACTTGGCAAGCGCAGCGTCAGCAGAAAATCTACGCCTATACTGCCATTATTTTACACACACTGCTTTAAGTGCCAGCAAGAGCCATAAGGAAGTAGCCTTTTAGAGCAGCGCAAAATTTTGGCGCCACACACCGGAAAGGACACTCTCGGTGTGCTCTCTATGCGGTGCTTGAAGTAAGCTCGGGTCCTTGAAGCTGAATACCGTGAATGCCATGAATGCCATGCATGCATAAATGAGTGCGGGAATGAGCATATGAATGGCGCACGGAAAGAAACGAAAGTGAGAAAGACAAAAATACAACAGCAGCAGCAACAAGGACAATAAAAAGGACACACGGCGGAAAGACATGAACGAGGGTATATATTAAGCTTAGAATGAATGAATTTGTTAAGCATAATTGACGCTGACATTGTAGACGAGACACAAGGATGCTGCGCATGCCACAAGCAGCGGTATCTATGAATGTCCTTACATACACATGCACGCTGCCGGTCTTTGGCTACCTCACTCAGAAGATTTATTGAGACTTAAACGCTGCTCGCTTTTTATTTTTGCCGAGTATATGTCTTCCTGGGCGAAAAAAAGGACAAAAGTGAAAGTGAGACGTCGTAAATCACTAACTTGTTGTGTGCCATGATTTTTTCCGGCACTGCAAGGTGATGAAAATCGACGCCGTATGGCTAGTAATCCACTAAGTGGCCATCAAATTTGAGCTGCTCAAAAAACTACGTCAGAATATTTGTCACATCGAGTTTATTGGCATTGCTATAAATCTTGCCCGAAACGATTATTTTATGTGGTTCAATTGGAATGCGGAAAAGTAGTAAAAGTGTGATTAAATGGGAATGATTTAGGAGACACAAGGAGAGAACGAATGCATTAGAGAAAAAGTGGATGGGAATACCAAGTGAGTGTGGTATATAAAAAACAGAAGAGCGGAAAAGTATTTTTGACTGCTGATTTTTTAGCGGAGTTTTGGAGAAAACAGTGCACTTAGTGGAACTAATGGACGGAATGGGTTCAGACACACAAACTCCGAAAGTGTGTTAAGAGCTGCTGATAACGGAGAAATCCCGTTTCTGGAATGAATAAAATTTGGCGCCACTTCAGGTTTCGAATCGATGAATGACTGGCAAGGTATGCTGCATTTAAAAAAATCGCCAAAATAGCTTTAGAGGTAATCCAGCGTTCATTGGAAGGTGGTTGGAAATTTGAAGAAACCTTTAACTGTTAATTATTACGGCTTTTGGTTTTCGAAGTTTTCTACATAGGGAACCTCGCTACCAAAACATGTTGAATTCTGTGTAGTTTGAAGAGTTACATAGATCGAATACGAACACTACCGGTGAAGCCTTGGAAGGTTCAGAACCCTTTTCTTGACGAAGCCCATCGTTAGAACTGACGTCTTAGGTCCTCTGTCTGACCGCCCGAGCATTTCAGATGTACACAAAAGTTCTTCCGGGAATGGTCGGCGATAAATACTGTCGATTTGAGAATATTAAAAGCTAAATAAAAAGGCAGCTGCTGTAATTTACAATAACAAATGATTTTCTAGAAATTTTTAATCAACGAACAAAGCACAAAACGAGCTCAGTTTAGCGAGTTGCTTTTACCTGCTGCAAAACGAACGAATACCCCAAATCCATTAACGTAATTTATTTCGTTGCGAAACCTTGGAACTGCAACCCTTCAACGCATTTTTGCAGCTTCCCCCTTTCCCACGTTGCGCTGCGGTAAAGCAAGAAAAGAAAGGTAAGCGTTGCAAAAAGTGGAGAGAAATATCAATAAAGCATTCAAAGTCAGTCTAAACGAAGCCAGAAGCGAAAAAAGGTGACAAATGTCTTGTAGCTTGCACCTTGGAAAACCTACAAATGTCAGAGACAAGTGGCAGCGGACACTCGGCAGGAAAGCTGAAGTGGTGCGCCAACAAGCAGAGAACACGGCAAAGCAGCGGGAAATGTGTGCGAAACTGTTACGTTGCAAGGGGAGACTTAGCCGCGACGTGCAATTCGATGTACATATGTATGTATCTTTTACGCAGCAGTCTGTCAGTCAGCGACATTTGCGCAAATGTCAAGGGACAAAACTCATAAAATGTGTGTACAAAAAAGAAGAAAAAAGAGCTTCAGAACGACACAACGACTGTTGATTGTCAACGGCGTACATGACTCATGCGATGCCGAAGCGACGAGCGGTACGCGAGCACAAGCGGACGCTTGCAATTCACGGAGTCAGTCATTAAAACTCACTCGCACTTGAGTTCCCACCTTCGCTCCTCCTGTTTGTTTGCCCTCACTTTACATACTTACATTACAACAGAAGGTAAACAACTTGAGAAGTGCAGAGAAGATAATGAAATGCGAAAATTACTGTTAAGGGTTCAGCAGTGTACAGGACTGCAGTTGGTGTGCGGGATGAAGCATTTTAATTTGACTTAATTTATTTTTTATAAGTTTATGCCTGCAGCAGAAAGTTGGAAAATACACGAACAATTTTTGTTTGGGGCAAAAATTATGAAAGACCCCAGAAATATAGAGAACAGATAAAATTTTGAATACAAACGTTAT